TTCTTAGGATCTTTCTCAAGAAAAAAATTAGGAAAAAACTTGGTGACATAGCCCTGGAAGCCCAGGTCAGTATATGCAAACCAACAATACAGCAGACAAACAGCAGTACTCAGGATACACACAGCTGCTAAATGGCAGCAGAAAAAGAATGAGTAAGTGTTCTATTAATATTCCATTAATGTACTAATACACAGCTTAGAACTGCAGCTGGATCATTACCTAGGCAAAATTTAGCTGAATCAAAGATCAGATGCACAAATGCAGAACATGAGCTAACAGAGGAAGAAAAGAAAAAAAAGAGGAAGTGGTTGCCCTCTAAACCTTTCTGCTATAATAATATTTTCCACTGAATGCAAGGTATGAAGAAATGATGCATGAGGAGCTTTCTGTGTGTCTGTATGGTGTTTTAGGCCAACCTTAGAAAGACACATTAACACACTGACTGACAGGAATAAATAAAATAAATGAAAAAAGTCAGAAATGATAACCTTCATTATCACCATTGCATCATTCACTGTTATCATCCAACACTAATGGGAAACTGGTTTTCTACACATAATGCACAAATTTAAAAAAAGTCATAAAAACTCATATAATAAATATGTTCTATAAATGCTGTCCACTTTAATCCACATTGTGCTTTCATTAAGCTCTTTCTATGAATGAATAACCATGAATAATAAACAAGTGACTGAGCTGTGAAAGACACATATGCAAGATATACACACACATACCTATACTTATATATACCTATACATCAGTCATTAATGATTCATCAGCCATAAACTTACATGACTCATAAAACAACAGAGATGATGGTTAGACATCGTAATAAAATCATGACTTGTATTGTGTCCAAATTTCGCCATGAGATAAACTCACCCGTGTGTAGAAATGTGCGTACTCAGATAAACCGGCTCTTTCTACTGCACCTCACGCCAACACATCAAACACTTTTAAAGCTTGTCAAGGCTCTTCCAAGAAACTGTTGTCGGCTGAGTACTAAGTATCAAACCACACCAACCAATGAAAGGATCATGCAAATTAACAACTGAGACACAGCTGTACGAAAAAAAAGACACCGTCATGTGCTGGGTTTTTTCCACATCAGTCTCTCACTATAAGTGCTCTACAAACTGACAGATAATGCTCAGTACTCAACACTATAATGCTAGGAGCAACTACATAATGCATAGCAGTAGTCTACGAATGACCCAAACACCAGAGCACATAATGTGTGTATGAATCATGATTTATGAAAAGCACAAACCTGTAAAAGTCACAACCACATTCCTGCCCAACAACATCTACAGCAGATACACATTCAAACAATTATATTTAACAAAAAGCAGGATAGAGAAAAGAATACACATTTAAGGACTGAGATTCTAACGAACGTACAGACAAGAGTGCAGATTTTCACTGAGGGAATATGTTACATTTATAACATTCATTAAAGACACATTGAAGGTAGCAAATAAAATAAAATGAGGAGACAATCTGGTATACACAGTATGAAGATACCTGCAGTGTCAAAACAAAACCCTGTATCTTCAAAACAGACATAGCAAAAACAGTCTTAACTTACAAATAAAGTTAATAGAACCATTTTAGACCATTTCATTTGGTTTCTTCATTATGAAAACGTAACACAGTGTAAAGGATAGCGTGAATTTTCAAATTATGCAAACAAGACAAAAACAACAAAAGTGAAAACAGGTTTCATTTGTGCTCTCACTGGGTGAGGGGTAGGATTAGATATCTTTGCAGTGGGTCACACTGGGCAGCCCTGCTCTATACAATAAAGCTGGTTTACATGTGCACTCTTAAAAAGATCTTCTTCAAGGGCTCTTTAGTAAAGACTATGGACCGTGAACACTCAAAGAACCATTTGCATGCTTAAATGGATGTTTGCATGGTGAAATGGTTCCTCAGATTGGTGGAGAATGTGTTGTATATGGTTCTATATAGAACCAAAAAGGGTTCTTCTATTTTTACAAGCTTGACAAGATTGAACCCTTTTTGCCACTAAAAAATGCAATGTAATTGAAATGGCCTTTTAATCTGCTTATCAGCCAGACCTCTGAAGACAATTGTGGACAGTTGTGCAACTTGTGCAGCCCAGTAACAATTCACTCCTGTACTTTCAAAATTAGACTGACTTCCTGTTTGTGACAATTCACGGAACAGTACATGTCTTTTTCACAGAAAAAAAATGTAAAGCATTTCCAAAGGTTTTAATGACTCTGTGTAGTACAAATATGCTGAAACATCTTTGCTACTATTTTCATACTGGTGGACAAGGATGGATTCATTATATACAATGTTTTGAATACTTACATGTTAAGTTAGTAGTGAAATTCAGTAATAACTGTAAACAGACTGAACAGAAACCACAAATGCCTGTATGCATAGTAGGGTTGCACATGATTAAAGATAATTCTGTTGGTTACTGTTGTGGTAGAATCAAGGCTACATTAGCAAGCAGAAGCAGGGCTCTTTTGTAAGCAAACTCTGTACATGCCAATGTCAAATAAATCTCTTAGCAAGATCTTTCAAAAAATCAACAGTGGAGAACATCTTGGACTGTGGTGGATCAATTTGATATTCATTGACCAAGGAAAAGAATCTACATCAGCAGTCTGCTAGCTTTATATCAGAGTGCATGGTTGTTTTAAATTTACATGATTTAAATGTGTACACTGTGTACATATGTTACATCAATATAATTACTGTGTGTAAATACTTAATTTAACTTAAATAAGATGTAATTACTTTACACCTCGGCAAATCATTATTAATGCAAAACCTTCTTCATACCAAGATACTTTGATTAACATGAAGCTGAGACTTGAAGTGAAATGTACCTAAAGCAGTGTTCCCTGCTCCCAACACACCCGATCCAACTAATCAGCTCATTAGCAGCCCAGTATTGTTTTTACTGAGTTAAAGTGGGTGTGTTAGGAGAAGCACAAAAATGAGCAGGGCATTGGGACTCAAGGACCAGAGTTGAGAAACACTGACCTAAAGGATTAGCATGTAGCTGATTTATGATCAATAAACCATTTCAAGATTTCTTTTCTTACTTAATTGAAAAGTAACAGGGAAAATCATACATTACGCTGCAAATTTTGAAAGAAGAAAGGTCACTTTTGACAGGCAGTCTATTGTATAGATTATATTAATTTTACTTAAAAAAAGCTTACAATAAACAAGCATATTGTCACGGTACTGTTTTGATATAATCTGAAATAGAAAATTGAGTTATATGTTTGGATTAATCTGATTGTTATTCAGCATATGCGCTTTAAAATCAGAGCATGGAAGGAACGGTCCAGTATCAAAACTTCCATATCTGTAACTAGAGCTGTTATTTTAATGTAAAAGGTTAAAGGAAAAGCCTCTCTAAAAGCACTGAATTACCTGAATAAAAGCTGTTACATGACACTGGAAAAAAAGAAAATGTGTCTTGAAAAGGTGAGGGAAGTGCACCTCCTGGTGGCTGTGTTCTTTAAATCATTGGCAACTGTAATTTGAATGCCTTCTGCACACAATACTGTGAAAAAGTTTTTGTACACCTGGGGAAATGTAACACCTGGGGAAACGTAAAACTTTTTTATCTGGACAGTAAGTGTTTATTTTCTGAAAATAAATACAAATTAACATTATAAATAGTGAATATGCGGGTTTCAGTGTGTTCGCTTAAAGGGCATTCTGGCATTTTAATGTGGCTAATCTCAGCCTCATCAGTTTCATTGAGAATCCTTTTTGTGTTTTCGTCTACCAGTGGTCTCTCACTACATTGCCCAGCATGCATTACACCCCACCCTTTTGCATTGGTTCCTGGTTTTACTTTTACTCACCCTCTTCGTGTTGTCTTTCCCCCTGACCTACCTTTCATTGTGTGTAACTACTCCACAGTTCACTGCCAGGCTATATTATTGTTGGCTGTAAGTGCATGTTACTATGTAATCTTCTGCTAAGTGCTATTCTATGACAGCTCAGTGTTACAGTGATAATGCAATAAAGTAATCCTAACTGAAAACTATTCAATTTCATCCCCTTCTCTACTTTAATTAGTAGAACATAACCATGTTGAGGTGAGTATTGGAATAATACAATTATCATTTAGAACTTCACTGAATACACATTTTGAGTATCTTAAAAGCTACGTAATGTTTAAAAAAGTGCAACCACTTGACATTATTTGATATTATTCTGACATTAAGTAAATCCAACATTTGGTTTTGGGGTAATACATAAAAAAATCAGTCCAGTTAATTAGAATTTTCTAAATCACTTCAGTGTGATTTACTTGAATTAGTTAAGTACTTGTTACTCAGTCAATATCTTAGAAGCTATTTAACCCCATTATGTGGAACAACTTGATATAAAATGTTAAAATAAATCAACACATCTTTCTTTTTTGAGTGCATTGCCGTTGTTTAATCAATTTGAATAATTCTATAAAGACTGCAGAGCTGACAACCAAACGTTATGTTATTATTATGCATTATGGTTGGAAAAAAATATGTAACATGCATTCATTCGTGCATTCATTCAAGTCATTTTTTTTCATAGTGAGTGTAATAAATGTAATTTCTATTCCCTTGGAGACTGCTGTCTAATGTGAGTGTGCCATGTGTGTTACGTGCTTTATTTTGTGTATTGTAGGTAGTTTTCCATGTTTTATTAGTGTGGGAACATCGAGAATGTAAGCATTTCTCTGCTGAAACTATGGATAGCTGTGCAAATTACACTTGTCAATCCATTTGTAGAGGTACCATTTATGTACATGTAACCTTTCATCTGTGCATTGTTTTGACACCTCACCCCCTAGATCAATTTTCTTACTGTAATCTAGATATATTTTCAATGGATTTGTACTTTCAGTGCTGTGCTGTACTTCCTTTTGTTTTATACATTTGCAATTAGCCAGATAGGTATTAATAAAGAGGCATCCAGTCCTCATAAGTGGGAGTGGTGGTTTTAGTGGGTGTGGACAACTGGACTGGGAGAATGAAAGTGAAAGTAGTTTGTCCTTTAACACAAACCTGCAGCTCTCTCCTTTGTTTGGGTATGTTTATATTTCTACCTCTTTTGTACCACATGGATATAAAAATATGAGAAGAAATACAAAAGAATGAGTGTTAGTACTTCTATTCTATGCTTAAAATGTTCTCAGAAGTATTACAGACAGTTATGATCTACTTTTGAGTCTAGTCCAGTGTTCAAACGACATGGTCTCTTTCTCTTCCTGATAAAATGTCGTCAGGGTGTTTAACTCCTGGTGATCCACTGCGCTGGTGTGAGTTTCCCAAAAGCTTCCTAATGCTATTGTTAACGTATTGTTGAGAATGTTCATTAACTAGCGTGAGTTTCCCGAAACCCTTCCTAACTAAGGTACTCGCTCGTAATTACTAACACGTGCCACGTCTGTTATTTACAAAGTGCTTGTTTATGTGGATTTTGAATGCAGTTCTGCACAGAGAGCCAGAGGTCGCAATTACAGTGCAAAAAGTATGAGTATACAGTCGTATGAAAACGCTTGCGCACCCTTGGTCAAATTACATGTTTTGTTGATTTGATGAGTGAAAATAAGTGAACACATCCTCTACAGTGATCAGACATCTGCGCATTTTAATGCACTATTATTGTTTATTTGCTGAATTTAACATGTTGGGGAAAAAAAAGATTTTTTAAAATTAAAATGGCCTGTGCAAAAGTTATTTTATGTTTCCATGCATTGTTTTTCTCCCCAATGTGTTACATTCAGCAAATTATTGGAATTTGTGCATTAACACAGAAGAAAAAAGCCATATTTAAGTGTATTATCTGTAGAGAATGTGCTAACTTATTCTTACTGAAGCAAAACTGAGTTGTTTTAATATTTTTCAATTCAACTTAATAATAATAATAATAATAATAATAATAATAAGAAGAAGAAGAAGAAGAAGAAGAAGAATATAATGCAACAACAAATAATAATAAATGTAATACAAATGCCTACAAAGTCATATACAATAGAAAATAAAGTAATATATTAGTGTATGTCGGAATAATAATAATAATAATAATAATAATAATAATAATAATAATAATCAATCCACTAATTAGCTTGATATCATAATAATTAATATAATCTCAATCACAATCATTTCTGCTAGTGGTGTAACGGGCCTGATATGAGACGACACCAGACGCTCTCTCGCGCTGGTGCTCGTGCCCCCCTACGTGCCCTAAATAAAAGTTGTTATTTTTTTTTAAATAATTACTTAGTTATTTGCACGGAATTATTACGTAGTTAAAGTAATAATTGTCTAAATCTCGATGCGGAGTTGCAGTGGAAAGATAGACAAGCCGCTGTGTGTCACGTGAACGAAGCAAGCAACAGTTAGCAGCGACTTTAGTCATGCCTGCTAGAGCAGAGGAAGAACTTCCTCTCCTGCCTCCTGCATCGTTTAAATCACCTATATGGGAACATTTTGGCTTCCCTGTAACATATACTGATGGCGGAGAAAGGGTGGTGGACAAAACCGTTACAGTATGTACTGGAAAAAAGGTCATCATCAGGCCTCATACTGCACTTCAGTTTAAATGATTTTATTTTGATTATTTTATTTAAACATTAAACATGTTGTTTTCATTTAAGACCATGGGCAAAAGTTCAATACTTTAAGTTTTCTGAATGTTCTTTGTTTTAATAAACTGAAAAATTTTTCTATTCTGATCCGAAAAATGATCCGGTTAGTCACTCAAAAAACCGTGAAATGATCCGATCTGTGAGATTTGCGATCCGTTACACCCCTAATTTCTATGATTAGTCTTTTGTCATAGCTTATATTTTTAGAATTATTAGGACACACACACAGATAGGCCTGTATTTGTAGGTATTCCTGATATAAAGACATGTGAACCCACCAGGACTTTTCCCGCTGATGCAATATGCTGATCAGTTACAGTTTTAACACTGAAATTTCTTCTTGTTTTGTTGTTTTGGAAAGGAGGTGGCTCTGGTTGTGGACTTTGTTCTGAAGACCTTCCAGACAAACTGAATCATGGCAGCAACAGAAACTGAGACTGCAGTGGGGCACAGTACTGTCAGTGATGCCCCTGCTCACAGTAACAACAGTAACAGCAGCATGGATGGAACACGTCCAAACTTCTCTGCTGAGGAGAGGTTGGTGTAACTATTACAGTGCGTTGTTCACTGTTTTCATTTTATAGAACTAAACTGTTTGTAATGGTGATGTAATCTGATGTGTAATCAGAACCATGTATACTTTTGTCTGTGCTCATTACAGAGGACTCCCTGGTGATCTCTTAGAGAGCAGCAAAGAGTTCATAAGACTTTATGAAGAACATCATCCAAAACTCCAACAAATCATTGACAAGCTGTTTATGAACTCTGAGGAGTTTTTAGATATACACTGTAAAGCAACCAAAGTGAAGAGAAAATGGGGACTAGCTTCAGTAAAAGGAGTTTTAGGTATGTTACTGAGTCACTTCACTTGTGGTGTTTCTGTGCCTGTGTTAGGGGCAGGAGGTGTGACTGCTGGTGGAGAAAGAAGCCACATAACTTACAAAACCAAAAAAGAAATGAGGAAAGTTCTAGAGGAGGAGAAGAAGGATCTGAAAAATTTCAAAACACCAGCTGATACAGTCACCAGTCATCTAAAGAGCATCTGTTACCACGTTGAGAAGATACTGCGGTATCAAAATAAGCAGTATTCTCGGCTAGAACATGAGTATGAAGGTCTCAGAAAGACCGAGGATGGTTTAGCAAAGCTTGCTAAACTAATTAAGCCAGAGGACCTACAAAGACTGTTAGAGCAGTTAAAGAGAACTTTAAGAACGACACAAAACATTAGGCCACTTGCTCACATTCATTCACTTAGTATTCACTCTCGATTCACTTTTGAAGACAGAAACACACTTAAAGGCTCAGATAAACTGAAAAAACAATCTACAGTGCAGGAAAATGAACAAGAATCAGAAGCAAGATGGCTCATTTGGAAGATGAAGGACTTAGGTGATCATTTTCAGAGCACTTTAAAAGAAATGAGGTCTTCAAAAACAGAGATAGAGAGGGTGATTATACCCAAACTCAATAAGTACTTCATACTACAGAGAGAAAAATGCAAACAGACAGATTAAAACTCTTTGAAAACTGTTTACTTGTGAACAAAACCAGCACACAGCAGTAGTTAAACAGCAATGACTTTGCCACTTTAGAATTTTTCTCGATTACTAACTAATTTAATGTAACTGTCTTTCTGGCTGAAAGAGGTATTTTAAGTGTTATGTGTTACTGACCCCCCTTGATTTGACTCATGGGATTTGCATTTGCTCTCCACTACTTCTGTTTTTGTGTCATAACTCAGTTTGTCTCAAAGGAACGATATATCCTTGAGCTACTATTCTGTAAATATTTTGGTTTGCATTATTACATTAAAATGTATTATCATTGTATATATCAGTTTTATTTTACTGTTCTGTGTTACATACATACGTGTTCTTTTTCTTTAAAAGATATCCATAACATGATGCCTGAGACCTGCATCAATACCTCCACAAACATAAGGATGTATTTGTGAAGTGCCTAACACTACTGCATGTTTTACTGTAGTCTTTACTGTAGAGTTAAATCAGCTAATCACTTTTATAGTTACTTGTTTACACACATTTAAGGAAACAGTGTTTCTACTCCCACCCAAAACACACTTTCTAAATCTTCACATCCTCACCTGCAAATACCAGGAAGTTAAATATTCACAGCAAAATGCCAAACATATCGATGGTATAAAAATCTGCTACAAACAAGGTTTTTCACACTGCACAGAGTAAAACCTGTATTTTATATACCAAATCTTTTCCTCTCAGTGGTTCTTTCTCAGTGTTCTTTTTGAAGGCCAAAAAACAGGTTTTTTTGCATGTTATATTGTCCTAATTTGACAGACATGCACTAAAGCCGGAAGGCTAACTCAAAACCATCTGTGGTGTTTGTATTAAAAAGTCTGTGAAATAACAGCACTTTGTTTATCATAGCTATTTGCGTTGCCCTTCATGAACCCTAAACTCAATTCAATATTTCAATATTCTAATTCTACAAACTGCAGGCTTTCTGTACGACGGTAAAAGGCGACAGGGCTTTGTAATGACACTTTTGATTACTGTTATGCAAAAAGTGTTCAAGAGATTTGCAATATGAATGTACTTGAAATTATTGACAACATTTGACAAAAGATTTTTCCTTTAGGTGAAAAGGTTTGGAGAATTGAGTATCAGTTTTTGTGTTTTCAGTTGAAAAAAGTCATGTCGACAGTATATTTTGTGGGATGTCCGTTTTTATTATTGTATTTTTTGTATAAATATGTGTTATAGTACAGATTGTAGTACAATAATGATGTGCTGAAGTTCATGTTATTATTATTTTTTTTTAATCAGTGGACTAAAATGTTTAAATGTGTAATTCTGTGTTACTGGTAAGGCCCTTCTAACTGGGGGCAGCACAGTGGATAACATGCCTTTGCTCTCCTTTGTATGCATATGTTTATATCTGTGCCTCTTTTTATCAGATGAAAATTACAGTACAAAATGATTCTAAACAATCTAAGCAAAATTGTTTTATGAATAAAGCATTCGTTAAAAAATGCATTAGACTACTTTCAATTTTTTATGATAAATATTTTTATGATATACATTGTTTACACATATAGCAAATATTAATGACCTATTATGATTAATAGCACATTTATTAGATAAATAAAAATAAGCGGTCTATTGAATGTCAGCTGTTATTTTTTTTTTCAAAAACTTTTTATATCTAAAATTGTGTGCAGCATTTTAGAATGATATTCGTCAAATATTTTTTTACCTAAATATTACATTAAATTAAATTACACTTCACATTAAAGAAACTTGGTTAGTATTATATACTGTTTCTTGAACCATTATAACATAGCTGCATGTTTTATCTTTACTGCAGTAAGTAGTTACAAGAATGAACATACCCAACTGCAATATGGATTTGTGGTAAGTTATGGTCAGTATACACTGTAAAAAGTGGATTCTTTCAATCAGTGTATTATTTTGAGTTGAATAAAACTAGTTCAATTGCTTGTTACCAAATGATGTCATTTTTTAATTGCTTGTTAGCTAGCTAAATTTGGGTTTACCTGGGGTAAAGAAAAGCATTGTTATTATATTTTTCTTCAGTATTTGGAAACAATGACACCAGTATTTGCCATATATTGTTGTTTAAAGTTAACATCAGTGAAAAGGTAATATAGTGTTGATCATAACAATTTCATATCCCTCAATTCCTCAACCTGTAGATGGAAATTAAGGGGACAGTTCCATCAAGGGTCTGTTAGATGAGAAGATTATTGCCAATTTTACCAAAACAAAAAAAATTAATCAACTGATCTCTTATTATTTCCTTGAGTTTTTGTAAATATGAGTTTAATAAAATAATGGCTAAACTAAACACAGGAAGAGAGGGAGAGAAAGACGCTGAATGAGACTGACAGGACTGAAGGAGCAGATCTGATAAAGGTTAGTGATCAAGAAGAAAATAAGGGAGAGTTGTATAAGATTTCAATTAAAAATTAATTCTGAATTTAATTGAGTTTTACTTAGATCTATTATCTGTCTCTAAGATCATGAAATTCTGTCAGCTAGCTTATTAAACATGCCTACAGAGCAAAATGTCACTCTTTCTGATGGCACCAACTAAGACTCAACTGACCTATAATCTGTGTATTTGAATAATATAGAGAGAAAACAACACTGCTTGACTTCAGTACTTTCAGTGCTTGATGTGTGCCTGTTATAATGGATGGATATAGTGTTTGTCAAACCAGCTCAGTGCTTAATAGAAACTAAGAAAATAAAATTCTGGGAGACCATGACCCCAGACCCCCCAGTACAGGCTTAGCCCCGCTATCCATAAACGTCTGGTGACACTTCTGAAGCCGCTGTCATATTTAAAGAGTGCTATTCACATTTAAATACCACTCCTGTGCTCCTCCTGATTTGAGGAAGAATATGGTCCTGGTTAAAAAAAGCTTCAGAGACACTTTCAACACAGTTTCTAGTTTTAATAATGATACCATAGGTGTTGCATTACGTTAAATTGCACATTTTTGATGTCATCAAAATAAGAGTCATATTAGATCTAGTGAAAAAAAGGCACTGCTTTGTTTAACATGCTTTATTTATGACTATCATATTAGTATCTGTAATACAAGTAGAGAAAATCTTTACAGGGAAGAGCTGAAAAACTGAGAACAGTACTTTTAGTTTAACAGTTTTTGTTACAGCAGTGGCTCCTCCTCCACCTTCACCTGAGAATCACAATGATTTAGAAGGAGTAATGGAAGCCTTTGGGAAAGCATAGGTAACGACTCTGCTTTAAACAGAAACAGAGCTTAAAGACAGAACTGAATGAAGTGAAAGTATGTCTCTGCTGTTCTCTCTTAGTTTTCTGCTCAGGTAAGTTGTGCACAGTTGTGCCTGACTCTGACATAAACTAGGTGGAAGGTCTGTAAGTGTGATATTATACTTTTTTTATTGTCATGCCTTTCTTTCTGAATGTGTGTGCAATCAACCCTGAGTACACTATCATTATATTCCAGTTCAAACAGCTGAGGTTCATTTGTGATATTTATTGAATGATTCTCAATATACACTGATTGGCCACACCATTACACGCACCTTCTCATATCTACACTCTTCTCATATCTACACTCTTGTCCATTTTATCAGGTTCACTTAAGATACAGGTGCACTTTGTAGTTCTACAATTACAGACTGTAGTCCATCTGTTTCTCTGCACACTTTGTTAGCCCCCTTCTACCCTGATCTTGAATGTTCAGGACCCCCACAGGACCCTCACAGAGCAGGTACTATTGGGGTGGTGGATCATTCTCAGCACTGCAGTGACACTGACGTGGTGGTGGTGTGTTAGTGTTGCGCTGGTCTGAGTGGATCAGACACAGCAGTGCTGCTGGAGTTTTTAAACACCTCAGTATCACTGCTGGACTCAGAATAATCCACCGACCAAAAATATCCAGCAACAGCATCCTGTGGGCAGTGTCCTGTGACCACTGATGAAGGACTAGAGGATGACCAACACAAACTGTGCAGCAACAGATGAGCTACTCTCTCTAACTTTACATCTACAAGGTGGACCAACAAAGTAGGAGTGTCTAATAGAGTGGACAGTGAGTGGACACTCCAGCAACACAGCTGTTTGATCCCCTTGTACCAGCCCAGCACACACTAACACACCACCAGCTGTACTGCTCTTGGTAAAAGTGTCAGTTGCAGGTGCTCTGTGGCAGGGTTTTCAACTCCAGTCATTATGTGGGCAGCTTTTTATTTTTATTTTTAAGGATTGTAAATATTACACACATATATATTATTTATTTACACACGTATATATATATCATATTAGAACATATATATATATATATATATATATATATATATATATATATATATATATATATATATATACAAATGAATGAAAAAAATAGACTTGCTGTCTTTGACAACAACAAAAAAAAAACTAAAGTAAACGAAAAAGCATTATTCCACATCAATCTAGTTTCCAACCAAAACTACTTGAACACATATCACATTGTACAACTCTAAATGAGAAAAGGTTGTGATGGTATGTTCAATCAAATTTAAAACTGAAAACAGTAATTTGTAAATTATTTTGGCCTGTATTATATTGAAAATGATACAACTGCATATTATTTGATGTTTTACCTCATGAATTTTATTGTTTTTTCAAAATAAACACATTTCAATTTTGATTCTTACAACATGTTTTAAAAAAAGTTGGGACAGTAAAGCATTAAGCACTTAACTGTAATGTTGCCATTCCTTTACACAATACTTAAACAACGTTTAGGGACTGAAAACATCAAGTGTTGAAGCATTTAAGGTGTCATTTTTTCCCTTTCTTCCTGAAAAAAAGTTTTAAGGCATGCAACAGTGCGGGATCTTTGTTGTCGCATTTTGTGTTTTAAAATGTGCCACACTTTCTCTTCTGGGGACAGGTCAGGACTGCAGGTAGGCCAGTCCAGCACCTGCACCCTCTTCTTCCACAGCCATGCTTTTGTAGAGTGTGCAGAATGTGCTTTTGCATGGGTGTTCCTGGAATAGATGTCATCTTAAAGGCAGCATATGTTGCTCCGAAATGTCTGTGTCCTTTATGGCAGGTATTAATTGTGCCATCATAGAAGTGTTAAGTTGCATTTAAGGGCACTGACACAACCCCTCACCATGACTCACCCTGGCTCTTGGACTTGCTGCTGGTAACAGTCTGGGTGGTCCTTTTGTCTTTGGTCCAGAGCATGCAGCATCCATTTCTTCCAAAAAAGACCTAAATTACTGATTCATCTGACCACAGTACTCATTTCTACTGTGTAATGCTCTATCTCAGATGCCCTTGAGCCCAGAGAAATTTACAGAACTTTTGGACATGGTTAACATAAGGCTTTCTTTTGGCAAAGTAATGTTTAACTGGCATTTGTGGATGTAACTATGTATCACAAAGGTCTGCCAAAGTAATCCTGCGCTGCTGTGGTTATATCGCTTATAGATGAATGACAGTACTTGATGCAGTGCCGTTTGAAGGATCAGAGAGCACAGTTATTCAGCTTAGGCTTGTGCCTTTGCCCTCTGTGCACTGAAATTCCTCCAGATTCCTTGAATCTATTAATTCTGTTATACAGTGTAGAGGGTGAAATATCCAAATCTCTTCCTATCTTTGTTTGAGGAACATTGTTTTTCAAACATTTCAATGGTTTTCTCACCCATTTGTTGACAATCTTGTGGTCCTTCCACCCACCATCTTTGCTCTTAAAGGACTAGGCCTTTCCTGGATGCTGCTTTTGTACCAAATCATGATTACAATCACCTGCCGGGATCGTTTGTTTCAAGTCACCTCATTATTTAATTATATTACCTCATTACTACCCTTAAAACGCCTCCATCTCAACTTGGAATGTGTTTCAGGCCTGAATAGCAGGGTTGGTTGTATTTTTACAAATGAAATGAAGTTGACTAGACAACATCTTGTGTTCATACTCTGTGCAATGAAATATAAGTCAAGGTGAATTTTAAAATCACTGCTTTCTTTTTTAAATTGCATTTTCTTTACCGTGCCAACCTTTTCTAATTTAAAGTTATATGAAGTATACCTTATACGAAGACTATTTTGTCCTGTTGGACTGGTAGCCCATTTATTAGAAATGATTATTATTAATAATAGTTTCAAATACCTTAATAGTAATAATTTACTCACAACTTCTACATCCTCTTCACAGATCTTCAGTGCAGGCTGGTGTGGCAGTTATTTGGGGGTTAGAGAGAGATGCTGATGTTTGTGTTGTTTTGAATGGGTATGAATTGGACCTATGGATGTTTGTGGAGCCATTCTTCAGCCAGACAACAATTGACCATTGAGGGGATAGCCCTTTGGTCTTTCAGGCTTTTCTATACACTTGATGGAGTCCTCTTTCACACACATTTGATGCTTTCAGCATACTACTCAGATTGCTTTTTTAATTGCGTTTATATGTTTATTTAGAGTATTTCCTTTCTGAGTGCACAAAGTCCTAAC